ATCAATCTGTGTTACTTAATTTGTCCCTGGCTCAGCTGTTCGCTGTACTTGGGACTTTTTTGCTGTTTGTTTCATTTTATTTTCCTCTGAGATAAATGAAGACAAAAAGAAGGGGCCAATTGTTCTTGACAAATGGAAGTATTTTTTTTAAAATATAACCATAAAGGATGTTCTACATTTTCAAACAGTGCTTTTTTTCCTGACTTTCACAGCACTTTCATAGAATCATATTTAATTTATTTCACTGCATATGTGTTGAACATCCTTATATTTCATTGCTTGTTACTCCCATTTCCAGATCAGCTTCATGTGCACTCTTTAAACGCTGTAAAAAATTCTGTTGGAATAAATGGTTGGGTTCTTTTAGCTGAATACTTAGAAACATATTATTCCTCATCTGGGCATGCCTGTAACAGCTTCGGTTGCTTTATTTATCCTGGGTGTTCTGGGGATACAAGGTCTTTGTTGGTCTAAGTGTCTAAGGAAGCATATGTTGTAATTGACATCTTGAACATGGATTAGGTGGGTGGCTGTATGTAAGCAAGCTAACTTGAGTTCTCAGATCAGCTTTTTGATGTGTGTCAGCTTACTTTCTCTTCTGAAGTAATGTATGTGAAGGAATATCTGAAATATGCATGGGATAGTGAATATAAATACCCTGTTAAATCAGTAGAGAAAGTGACTCCCCACACAACTTCAGCAGCTTTAAAATTCCACTGTGCAAAAGGACTGGGCTCGGCACGGGGGACACTGCAGCACCGGCTGGCTTCCTCTGCCACCCCCTTACGGCAGCGGTCAGAGGGTGAGATCCGGGTAGGAGGCTGAAGCAGGCAAATCTATCAAGTGGCTCTTTCTGGCTTTCCTTGTTTACCATGTTTTAACTGAGAGGGTTCAGACCTCACCGCCCCAGGAGGATTTCTTAGCTTGCAGGAGGTTGGGTTCTGTTGAAATACTGCAGGGCACCCGGATTTTGCCTTGGAAGTCTGCCGACACCAACTTGCTTATGGCAGAAAGTGCCAGAAGAATGTCAGCCGTCTCTGTCCTAACTGGCAGGGCTTGGAAGATCAGTTCAGAGCTTGGGTGCTACAAGAAACACTAGTGTTTCAGTGGACTTGGGTTTGGATTAATAACTCAAAGGGCCAAATGTTCAAAGGGCTGGCTTCCAATTTTATACTGGTAGTTGAGTAGAAGTACAAAATCATGGGCAGAAAATCACAGATAATTTTTTTCCAAGCTGACCTTTCTGAAAAGGAGCCGGCAATTATCTGGATTTGGGCACAGTTTCAGCAATGTTTTTAGGTGTTAATGTAATATTTTCATTATATTTCTGCTGGACTATTGATTAACTATTCAATTATTTAAGAAAAAGAAATTTAGTATTGGAATGAATAATAGCTTTTTGGATTGGTACTTGTGCTTTGCACAAGCGTGCATGGATATTGAGTTAGTGTAAGTACTGATTAAATAAGAGTGTCTGCATTTCTTTTTGTGTTGATGTTGATCTCATACAGTGGATGGATAGCGCAAAATGTGTTTATACATTGAAATTCAGTACCTCATAACTTTTTAGTTTGTAATATGCTTATTCTTAAAGCACCTGGCAGGTTGGTCAGTCCTCTTCCCCTGTTTCCTGTGGAAGAAACTGAGACTTTGAGAATTTGTATGTCCTAAAATTCACCTGAAGTTTCAAAGCCCGGTGTTGTATGGTGGTTAGGTGCCTCTGAAGGCCCAGAGCTAGCCTACAGAAAATACTGGATGCAGAACTTGGGTGGAATTTGAGCTACCTCAGCCTAGACCACTTTGCTAACCCAGTGTCACGCCTTACGTCTTTGACAGCATGATTTAAAGTCAGGTCCTCTGAATCCTAGACACATGCACCAGCCTTTGTCTTGATAAACATATTTCATCACCCATAACTACACTAATTGCCTAGACTGCTTGCCTAGTGGCATGTCTCTGTGGTCCTTTGACCCAGTTTTCCTCTGAGAGCACTGAAGGAACAATCCTGAGTTTCCAAAAATAACACTTGATAGATTGAAAAGAGCGTACTTCATTATTTATTCCTGCTTTGCTCTAGCCAAGCTGCCAATGACTCCAGTGGAAGTCAGCTTTATAAGAGTGCTTAGCACTGAAGCAAACCTTCAGACTTCATAAGATATCCATGGAAATGTAACAATGTTCAGTGTAGCAATTGCAACTCACACTGGTATATTTTAGAGCTTAGAAATGTAAAGCAACCTAAGAGATTCAGACATTCGGTTCCCGTTAAAATCAGCTTCCCTCCCCCCCCCCCCCCACCTTTTTCAGGTCCCCCTTAAAAACCCCCTCCCCCCCCCCCCCCCAGTTTTGGAAAACTGAGCAACTGTGGTTCAAAAGAATATAAGGGACAGTCATGAGGGCATTCTAGCAGTTAGGACCCCGGTGCATTTATCGAGCTTTTAAAAGAAAGCCTCTGAAACTACGTCTTGGGAAATTGAATTGGTTCCTTTATTTGTACTGAAGAGCATCTCCTTCACTGAATGGTGTAGCAGAGGTGGCTGCTGCTAAGACTAAGCAAACAGGATTCCAGATGCAGCTCTTCATACTTTTACTTGATGCCCTCCCCATAAACTCTGAAAATCTCTGGATTTTTCTTTTATTATTTCCCAAGTCATGTTAATTACAGAAAATACCATAGAATTGTTTAATTTGTTTCATGCCCAACATTAACTGTAAATTCAGGCATGAACTTTGGTTGAGCAGCAGAGGAGCATGGTCAACTTTCATAGAGAGCATAGAATAGTTTTATCCTGAAAAGTTAAGGTTCCTGCATAGGTTTATTGGCATTACCCTTATGGCTGGAAGGACAAAGTTGGGACAACCTTGTCTCCATTATATGAACTCAAGTGTAAGGTAAGAGAGATCCTAGTTTTGTACATCTTGTCGATCTGTTCCTAGCTTGTGCCACTGCTGGGACTGGCCCCTTCAAGGAACAGAAGTGTACAAATTGGTCCTGTGCCGTGAGCCTGTGAGCCTTCACAGGATACTGCAACGGAAACCTGCTGAAAGTCCAAAGCGGTTGTGCTGTCCTGGTCAGCTCTCTTTCTCCCCTTGTCTGTGTCACCTCCAGGTGACAGGAGACTTGTGTCTGGAAATGGTGTCAGGGGTATTTGTGAAATAGTCACGACTTCTGTATCTCCTCAAAATATTTCCAGCTATTGAACTGCCTTCTTGAAATCACAGGCAGAGATGCACACAAACCTTCAAGAGAGCAGTGCTTAAGGAGACCATGGCAAAACTGAATATACGACTGACAGCGTGGGTTTTGTAGCACCAATTATAGACCACTTATTTTGCTCTGCGTGTAAGTGATAATAATTTGCCCTCGGTACAATGACTCCTAGAGGCTCAAATAGACCCTGTTAACTGAAATATCAGCTTTTGTTAACAGAAGCAGCTTCTTGCCTACTGTCTTCCCGCATTAATCATGTAAGATGTCAGTAGAGGGAACCCAGCAGCCCAGTGCGTAGTCTGGTGTTTCTGCTAGTTCTTCTATCACTTGAATTTTTCTGTGCTTAGATGATAAGAATCACATTGTCAGTGCTTTTGTATTCAGTACCTGATCCTTCCTGGAAGTGTTTATCTGTTTAAAACAGCTTTAAATTTTAATTAAAAACAAAACGAAACCACGACCTGTCATTGGCAATATTTCTGTTGGTCATGGCAACAATTTTTAGAGATGACTACTGGGTTTGAGCGGCTTAGTTCTTGACTGCCCAGATTTAAACAACCTGTTTCTTAGCATGCATTCTGAGCTCTGCATATTATTCAGCAATTTCATGGTATCTCGAGTTATTAATCATAAATGGAGGCATCCAAAAAATCCTGATCAGTTTTGAAACTCATGGCCTCATTTAGCTTTTGTAACAGCTTGTTTCTAACAAAATCTGATGCAGAGCCAAATGAAGTGTGTGTTTAAATGATCCCTTGCCTAAACTATCATGAAAATTTCAGATGGGATGAGAAGGAGGAATGCCACAGAGGGCAGCTTGTTGGAAGCTTGCTACTACTTAGAGACTAAAATAGTGTAATCAGCAAACACTCAGTCACTTTAATGCTTCTTCAGTGAAATCCAACTTTTTGTTTTCTGGCTTAACTGTTCTCTTGCACTTTCCTTAATCGCTCACATACGAGTACTAGAATACATTTTAATTTTGATGCACCTAGATTTTCCTATTTGGTAGAAACTATAATTAAGAACAGAATTAGGCAACCTCTTGATAAATATAATACATTTATAATGAATCACCATGGCTTTGTAAAGGCTTCATGAATTGTTAAAACTCTTTGAAGTATACATACGCATCAAGAAGATCCAGTTAGATTTCCAGAAGGCTTTTGCAAGGTCTTTCATCAAACTTCCTGAAAGAAACTGAACTTTCTTGTTGGGGTAGAACAGAAGAAAAAGTCTATATGTAAACAAAATGGTATTTATATGATAGGAAATGGTAGGAAACAAAGTCTGAGAATCAGCGATTGATTTCTAACAGGAGCAAGGAGGCGTCAAATGAAACTGAGGAGGCAGACAGGAAAACAAAGGAAGTGTTTCATATAGTACATGGCTAAGATGGGAGACCATCACAGGATGTTGTTGACACTAAAATTTAAATTTTAACAGATCAAAAATGGTTAGAAAAATTTTTGGAATAGAATCCATCAAATGCTATTAAACACAAAGATAGCACTCGTGGCTGAGGAAGTCACAAAGTTGCAAATTGCTGGAGGCTAGAAGGGTATAAAAGGGATGTATTGCTCTTAGCCATCATCTTACACTCTTTCCTAGACACTTGCTATTGGCTGAAAGCAGGATATTGGTCTTTGGTCTGATATAGCACACTTACCTTATGGTATGTGGTTATTTAGAATCGTCTATCTCATTTCTGTCTTAATTTGTTTCCACTCCCTCAAACAGGCTTTCTTTGACCCAATATGTTTTCTGTTTTTTCTAATTGATTGCTCACAGGGCCAAGCAAGTTCTGAAGAGCTTTCTTCTGCTGTCCTGTTAGTGAGCTGTGTGTCTTCATGTGCTAATAGTCTGTAAAAACAGGACCCAATAGGAAATTTTAGCACTTCGAGGTAAGACTTTTTAACATGGCTCTTTGTTATATGCATTGCATGGAAGTTTGGGGGAAAAATTCAGGCTAGGTTAATCGACTGCATATACATTTAGACATCTAAAGGAATGATCTTCAAAAGTATATAAGGACTTAAGAATACCGCATGCTAGTGAAAGACACTTCTATAAATGTTTTCCCTAATTACAGCTGGACACCAAATTAGTTTTTTGCCTGGTTCAGAACTCATTTCATCCCAAATTGGGACAAAAGCATTCAGTTTAGAACTTTGTCACAGACTGGAAATTCTGTTTGAATTTCATGCCAAAGTCATGTTACGAAATATTTTATGACAGAAGTGTTAAAATGAAATATTTCACTACTTCTGCCCTTAAATAGGAAATTATCTTATGGTCATTTTTATTTAAATTTTCTAGTCTGTCAGCCAAGGAAGCAGAGGAGAAATTTAATCTGTGGTTTTGTTTTTGTTTTTCTTTTTTCTCCCAGCCACTTAAAGTGCACACTAGTCCTCTTTCACAAGAATATTACCAAAGCCAGGTCCTCAACACCCAGAGAAAGCTTTAGAGGATATTTGCTTCACCAAGCAAAGATTCTTTGGGTTCTTATTTTCTTTGCGTGTACATCCCAATCTTGTGGGGTACTGCCATGCTGAGTTTATGCTGTATAAACAGCAAAAGAGAGTAACAACCAGCTTTTGTCCCCGCTGTCATGTACTTCATCCAATTTAAATGACCATCTGCATCTTCTGGTCTCTTTGCAAACCCCAGCACAGTTTCATCAACAAAGGTTTTTGTAAAGTGAATCCACAGACAAATAAGCCAATGACTTGCCACCTACTTCTTTTTCTATAGCTAAGATTTGGGGCTTAACAGTTGAAAGTGTTTCCTTTCTTCTGTGATGCAACCAGTGACCTGTATCAATATTGTAGGTGAAGTACTGAAATTTATTCAAAAAGGAGGGAGCAAGGTGTGTGTAAATGGCTTAATGAGTAACAGATACCTAACCTAATCAGTTATAATTAACAGAGAGTGAGACACTTGTGAAAAATCACCCGCTTGTATTTTGGATTGAAAGACTCTCTTTCTTGCCAAATTGTGCCTAAATTGAGTTCTTTAACTCCTGAAAAGAAAAATCAGGCTTGGAGAGACAAAAAGTTGGAGTCCATTTAGAGGCTGCACAGAGGACCTATGTGTCATTTATTTTCTTGTTAAGCTCGAAAGGCTGCCTACCCTCGGGAGAGCGGCAGTGGCGGACACTGGAAATGTTTATATAATCTGGCTATATCTTTGATGAAGTTACAGGCATTGTCCCCCTGAAAGGCTGATGCTGCCTCCTTAGAGAATATGTTCCAAACATTAAATGCAGTGCAGGAATGTAGTGTATGTTATGCTGAGCAATAAAAGCTGAAAAAAAATCCATATTAGATGTCATTACTGGATTTCTTTTTGATGTTGGTTTTTAATATATGTGCTCCTATTTTTAGAGTTTTATTCTGAATCTTGTAATAGCAACCATTCCATTTTGGTATGAAGTCTTTTCTATTAACAGTGATCAAAGTGAAATATTTCATTTGAGTTAGAAAAAGAGACACTTGAGATGAATGAGGTTCTGCTGTATTTGGAGAGTTGGATGTTTCTGATATACGATCTGACTTACAAAGTTAGAAAATTAATTGCACAAAGCAGTTAATTTATAAACAGATAATAAAACACCATTAGCATCAAAAGTTTAGAAAAAAATTTGGACCTCTTTCAAATACATTGTAAACAAATATTCGCGTGCTATTAAGGCTTATAAATAATAAATAATTCTTTTGGTGTTTATTTGGTTTAAAAACTAAACTGATACGTTGTTTTCTTAAGAACAAATTGAGATCTCTGAGATCAGAATTCAAATAGAGGGCTGCTTTTGTTAAATGAGAAAGGCTCGCTCTCTTTAGGTTGAAGACAGGCTGTCTTTCTACCTTAAACTAATTTAGGGATAAACCCAGGCTCTTGATGTTCTCAAGGAGTTAACAAACTGAGCACAGAACTATGTTTTGATTTAAACCCCCCTTCTCTTAAGGACTGTATTTCCTTAAGCAGTTTTGCCTTGCTCTGCTTTGATAATTTCTGTTGATTAGAAGCAGGCTTTCCTCTAGTCCTGTTTGTTCAGTGTTGCCATGTACCAAAGGTGTAGAGAATGAACAAAGGGGGTAAATTGCAACCTATAAATACAGTGCTCGGCAGAACTTGTCCTCTGTAATTTGGTATTATTCAAATGGTAGCTAGTGTACCACGTTAAAGGCATCTTTTGAAGATATTTTTGTTACAGGACTGTCTGTTGTTTTGTTGAGCCTCATACTTGGGTAGCTCACATCTGGTGGTACATGTTACATTAAAAGAAAGCTCAATTCTACTCTCAAACAAGCTCTCAGTTTTTGAACATGAGCTTTGTTGGACTTTTGTCCCGTGAGCACTTGCAGGTCAGCCGTTCAAGACACTTTTCCTCCATGGAGAAGTAGTCTCTAGGACAAGGGTAGCGAATGTCTTTTCAATAAACAGAACTACCTCTCATGTCCTTTCCTCGTCAGCCCTCTTAATTTCCAGCGTAAGCTTTTGTGTTGTTGCCATGGGACTTTGAAATGGCCCGCAGGTAGAGAATGGTCATTCATAGACTTAAATCCATTTCATGAGGAACATTAACATTAAATCATGTTAATTAACATTAATATGACTTACATGGCTTAAGACCTATCTTTGGGTTTAGCAGAGCTCTAGGAATAATTTAAAAGATGAGCTATTACTCCCATTGGGATCTTGACTTTGAATCCACTAAAGGCAATGGATGTCCTTGAACTAGCTTAGAAGGCTTTGAATCAGGAGAAGCTAATTTCAGATCAGCTCTCCTGGCTACCCCTCTGCTGTTCATTCTGCTTTGTGATGACTTCTTTATGCTGGGCTGTATATCAGTGCCATGCAGAGCAAACCCCTTAACATCCCTTTTGCTGTTCTGGACCATGAGGCAATGAGCCATGTGTTTTTTAGATGATCATATGAAGATTCAATCTATTTTTAGGGCAATCTTGTTGCCAGGAATAATGTATGGGACTTCTGATTTTAATGTTGGATTATGGGACAATGTAAATGCCTGAAATGGATATTTAAAAATATTTTTTAATGACTTAGCGTTTAACAGATTAGTACCTCTGATGCAGTTACATTTAAAAGCAGTTTTGTATTTCCTGTCTATTTTGTATTTTTGACTGATGTCATTGGGGACCTCTAGGCAAACACCACGACTTTGGTTTCAAAGCCCCAAATGAGCAATAAGTAGGTATAAGTTAGTACATTAATAGATGAACTGTGAGATGATGAAGAGACCACACCTAATGAATTTTATAAAATCTAATTCCAACTTCGGTGCAAATATTTTTATTTCATGTTTAGTGTTCTGCATAATGTCACCCAATACGTTGACCTCTGTCATTCTAAGTGATCACCCCATCTAAGAGTTGAAAAGTGAATTGATTTTCCTTCAGTCATGTAATAAGCATATGTCTCAGGTCTGGCCTACTATATTGACACATGTAAAACCCACTTAAATAAATCAAAGCGGGTATTTGGGTATTCTGCCATTTGCCTATAGGCTGATGGGAGAATATATTGTTTTAATACCTCAGTTATTTATTTTGTTGGTACAGCCAGCCAGCCGTAAAAATGATCAGTATCAGAAATGTTCTTTGGAAGAATTGGGGTTATCAATATCTTGGATAGCTTAATCATCAAACTCATCGGTTTTAGTAGGTTTAAATGTATAAATTCCTTTTAGAATGCATTTGCACTTTTTTTTTTTTAATTTTACTGTTTAGTTGATTGCTTTTTCAAGTATTTCAGTTTGTAAATAACTCCACAGTATTTGGACTTGCACAAAAGCAAGGATGAAAAGGCCTAGAAGGATTTTTTTTTTCAAAATTGTCTTTAATGGCTATACTTTCTTTTCTTTATCTAGATACAACAATGGTGGCGCATATGCTGTTCAGGTGGATTCTAAAAGGGCTTATTGTGTCTTTTCTGCTCAAAACTACTCTGTCCCTAAACCCAGATGATCCAAATGTTTGTAGTCATTGGGAAAGGTAATGTATAACATGCCAGTTTTTTTTTTTTGACTAGCTGTTGCAGTTTTTTACATTTAAAAGGCAAAATAAGAGCCATCATTTGCTAAATACCACTGTGCTTCACAAAAGAACATGGATTTGCATGATAGAAATAGCACTTCTGAGTGCCTTTAAGGATTTGGATCATCCCAAAGAAGTGGTTCTAAAGCCAGGGCTGTAGACCACATACCCCTGTGTTACCTGTCTGCTCAGCTGTACTTTGGAAAGCTCCTCCATAGTTTCAGCTAGAGGACTGCACAGGTGTATTTTCCTTTATCACGGAGAGACCTAGAGAAATGGTGGCCTTGTTCTGTCTTGCCTTTTTCTGGTTGTTGTCAAGCAAGACTATTAGAGATTTCGACTGAGTTTTAAGCTCTTCGTGCAGCAACATGCAGGCTTATTCTGTATGGCCTGAACTTCGTAGCTGTATCTGCCAAATTTGTGTCAGCATCAAAGAGTATCAGGATGAAAGCAGTGAGAATTAAAGGCCCTGGTAATTCTGTTCTCTCTATTGTTACAGTGTCCTCATCCTAAAAGTGGATCTGTGCAAGACAGTTCTTATGAGTACATAGAAACCCACTAGCTTTGATACAGTTCACATTCATGCAGGGTCTGTTTGCAGAGGCTAAAGTTCCTGTACTCTTAAGTTTAACTTGCTAACTTTCCAGTTCTGTTCTGTGGTTCAGTTCTACACAAATATGAATTACTGTATGCTTTAGCAAAATAAAACCCTTAACAAGAGCAAAAATGCAATCATACTTTAATGGCACTGTGTTTTGATTTTAAAGGCTTTAATTAGAGAATGACCTGTTTGTAGGTAATGCAGCTGCAAAGGAAAGGCTGTACAGGAATAGGATTTTGCAGACTGTGTTGTGAGGTGAAGTGCATTCAGAGCACAGGAATAAAATATTGATTTTGTCTGAAGAAAATTCAGCAACCTAGAGACCCAATCAAGGAGAAACAAAAATTAAATACCAAAATTGATTGGTTGTACTGACCAAGATGACTTTGTTACTTAGATGTTAATAAATCAAAGGGAAAAGATTGTTAGGCCAATTGCTGGATAACTAACGGGATCATAAAATAGTAATCAAGATTTGTGAGTGTTACTGTTTTACATTAATAATGAGCAATGTGAATATTTTACATTTTGGCATTAGTAGAAGTAAAAGCATTATTGTCAAATCCAGCAAATTGTGATAGAGGGCAAAAGCAACATCTAGTAGAACCTTGGCTCGTCCAGAAGGGGCATGACAAGCAGGGCAGTAATAGTCCAATCTTCAATTTCAAGCCAATCAGACCCTCCAAGCAAATATTTTGGTATTCCCTTACGGGTGCAGTCTCAGAGGGCTTAATCACATCAGCAGTCCCGTTGATGAGAAGGAAATCACTTGGATGATTAAGACAATCGATATAATGAATGACTTGGAGGATCTAATTCCTGGGTCTTGACCCTGCCTAAAGTGATTTCAATATCATTCCCCAAAGATGTTGTAGATCTGATAAAGTAGAGCTTGTTTCCAGATCAGAGCCTGAGATTATGAGTCTCTTAAGCAGTGCACACACTTACTGTAGGGCAATACAGTGTTCTGAAATGACTGACTCTAACAAGTCGATGAGACTTGTGTTCCTATGTCATGTGAGAGGCCTGGACACTTTCAATAGAATCATAGGAATTAATACAGTACCCGTTGCATGAAGAAGTAGAGTCTTGGGAAGGAGGTTGCTGAATTCTTAGTGTTGTTGGAGCTCTGTGATTTCTGATCAATTTGCCTGGTTTTTGTTTGTATCCATTCATTTGTACAAAGGGAGGTAGTCCCATTCTAACCGTATGTCAAAGCGTTCCAAATCTAGATACCTGTTAACTTACATTACAATTTTCAGATAGTTCTGAGGTTATTTCTGCTACAAATTAAAAGGATTAAATTTGTGCAGCAGAAAAATAAACACTCTTCAGCCTTTTACAAATGATTCTATTTGATTGGTGCACCCAATATTTGAAGTAATGAAGTTGCCTCGTCATAAAATGAAGTATGCACATCCCATCATGCTGGCAAAATGCAGCAGTGCTAAGTTAATACGAGGTCTTATTTGCATTGTGGAATACAAGCAAAAATTAACAGTCCCGGGCAGGAAGGCAACTGAGACATTTTAAAAACATGGTGCTTTCCTCTCTTTTCAAATTTGCACTATCAAGTTAACCAAATGCCCTTTTCACCTTCTACACTACCATGAATTTTAGTAACATTTGTTTCTTTTCCAGACGGGAATGGTTTATTACTCAGACTGAAATCTCTATGCCTATTTCAGTTATGGAGCCCAAGTTAGAAGCATTTCCAGAATTTTCAGGAAGAGCTGCAGTTGAAAGGAGCCCTTTTCTGGTTTTCAATAATGCCCAAAGTTTCTAAGATTATTGATTTAATTATCTTTCATACTGGAGTTAGATGAGTAGCATATACAGGGAACCGAAAATTTTCATGTTGCAACAAACACCCTTTCACTTTCTTTCTTTGTCTACTCCTAGCTACGCTGTGACAGTACAGGAATCTTACGCTCATCCGTTTGATCAGATCTATTATACAAGATGTACTGACATACTGAACTGGTTCAAGTGCACTAGACATAGGTAAGAGCTGATCCCCAGATATTTTAGTTTTATTTTACTTTTTTATCTCCTCGCATAACTTTCATTTATCCAAATTTTTGTGGTACTCTAATACAGATATGTACGGAAAGATTTATTTTAGTACAATAGCCAGGGTGTTTGGTATTCTAGGGGATTGATTAAGTAGAGGGATTTTTGCATGAAATTTGAGTGAGATCAGTGGTAGTCAGTCTCTTATGGGGCCATTCAGGAGTATGTATCCTTGCCATTCACCTGCTGTGTGATTGGAAGTTTTTATTACCTGACCAAGCATGACCAAGTATCCTTTCCAAGTGATCAGTGCATGTCCACCTTTATGGCAGGAAGTCCCTGCAGCTCCTAAATCTTGAAGAATCAGGCACTTGAGGGTTAGTGATAGTTATAAGTGGATCCATATTTGAAATACTGTACCTGAATCTGTATTGAAAATCAGGTAAAACGAGGATGGGTCCATTTCTAGCACCACATGAAAACTGATACTAAACAGTTAATTTTTCCCAGGCTGCAAGATATCAGTGTTATATTCATTCTGATTCCAAGTAGAAAAGTATCCTAATAAACATCCACTGATATTTGCAATCTTTCAAGGGGGTTTTAGCGAGCTACTTGGTACCTTAACTTTCACGCATTCAGTAGCAAAGAGGTTGTTCAGCACCATCCCATTCTGACTGTGAGGTTTTGCTTTTTAGCTTCTGTGTTGCAATGTGTGGAATTGAACAGAGATGCAGAGCTTTCTGGACTATTGTATAGCTTGGAATGCGGCAGAGTAAACGCGATCAGTTTATCTAACATGAGGGACAGTACATTTTGTTCAGTTTAGGTAATTTCAAATAAACATGAACAAAGCTGTTTTGAAGTGTTTGCTGTTAAATATTCTCTGTTAAATATTCCTTTTCTAATGTGGTATCATTGCTAATGCTATGAATAAGTCTAGAAAAGCTACAGAATGTTTAACACCTTTTAATTTCTGTGCACTACAGATTCTGGTGGGGAAAACATGCTTTAAATACTGGACTGGGAATATAATGTCATTTTGCAAGGCATTAATGCCTTGGAAGGGTTAGCAAGTAGGAAGAAATCACTTGGGGTTTCGAGAGCAGTTCCCATTGTGGTAATTTCTTGTGTAGCATGCTGACACAGTGATCTCCATAGAAGATTCTCTTCATTCCATTGATGATAGCTGACCTTGCTGATATGCAAAAATGAATTGTTTATTCTTGAAGAAACTCCTTGCCCTTGCTTTAGGACGAGGGAAATGTTTTAAGATGGCAGTCCTACGAAGGGCTACAGTGATTGACTGTCATGAGTACTGTGTTTATAATACAAGTTATATTTCAAGTTTCAAAACAAGTATTGTTTTTTTTTTTTATTGTGGCTTTTAATAACAAAAGCTGTCATGCATTTTAAAATAATTATTGAATGCTATTGTTACTATAATTTAACACAAATATAATTCCAACAGTAGGCATTGATTTTCAATATTGTCAAATGGCTTTCTGTCTTGCAATTTAGAATAAGTTATAAAACAGCGTATCGAAGAGGACTAAGAACTATGTATCGGCGAAGATCTCAGTGCTGCCCTGGATATTACGAAAGTGGAGACTACTGTATACGTATGTACAGAACTTTGATTTAGATTTGACAATTAAAAATAGTTTCTGAAGGAACTGTAGACAATTTAAAGATGTATTGCAGTAGTAATATTAAGGGCTGATTTTCAGAGCTGCTCAGAACCTTCAGGTCCCACTGATTTCAGTCAGAATTGCAGATACAGAACGTTTCAGGTCATTTCAGGTATATGCATTTCAAGCACCTAAGGAAAATTTTGCTGAAATCATTGGGGAGGGAGTTAATCAAGTTCCTGAGTACTTTCTTGAATCAGACCTTACTTTAGGGAGTAATTTATGCAAGTATGCACTAATGTTAAAGAATTAGGGGAACTGAGAACACTCTTAGGAATGAACTGTTACATAGTATAAGAAGCAGCGTAAAGTTCCTGATTCTTAACTTTGCAAGTTCTTATTTCAGGTAAGAACAGTAAAAATCTCATTGTGTTTCACATGGTTCCTGTCAATAATTTTGCTCTTTTTAAAGCTTTGCAGCTGTCAGAAGAACTTTGTCCTCTTTGCGCTGTGTAAGTAAATAAAAAGCTCTGGAGTGTGTTAGGTCAGTCTGAGGGGGACAAAAAGCGAAATGGATCTTTCAGCAACACCTAAGAGCTTTGTTAATTAAAAATGTATTGTACGTTAATGTCACAGTATTGCAGCTTTCTAAGTATTCTGAGGCAGAATGCATTTGCTACACTTTGCCTAAAAGGAGAGTGAAGCTGGGGATCTCTTGTCTACATCTTGTTAGAATGGGATTATGACACAAGAGAAACACAAGGAGGTTTTGATGAACATCAGAATCCAAATTTTATTGACAGGTTGAGAATGCCATAGAATAATTTAAATGTGAAAGTGATACAATTATCCAGCTACCTTTAAATATCTTGACAGAGTGCTTTAAAGCTATTTCTATCTAGTTCTGTTGGTGGTTTTATCTGAGTACCTATATTGTACTTATATTGTAATATATGAGCACCTCAAAAATATGAATGGACACTAATCTCATTTTAAATGACCTTTATGCCAAACAGTTACTTTAAAGGGGCTTTAGACTGTGAAAAATTACCAGCCCTTTGAGATAAGGCATTAGAACTAGCCTTATTTACAGAGAGAGTAATAATTTGATCTTTCAAAGTGTGGAGTGCTGTTACTCAAGTCCTGAAAAACATTTCATGTAACCTATTGTCTTTGCTAAAATCCTTGCTATGTTAAGTACGTACTTACCTTTAAGTTTCTCAAGTGTCAATATAACTTCAGCCGTTGTTCCACATAGGTTTATTACCAACTTGAATTTTGTGGCTCAAAATCCTGTCTGGCACAAAACATATTTATTTTCATTTTTCTCTCTGCAATCTATTGATTTTTAATTTTTTTTTATTTTTAAGTGCCATATGGGTTGCAGCAACAGGAGATCTCTGCATACTTTCTGATTCTTTGAGGATATTAACATTTATTTTAAAGTCCTTTTTTGTTAGTATTAATACTCAAGAGTTCTGCAGCTGCCAGGCAAATTTTGTCTTCGTATTATGGAAAAAGAACAGCATACATCATACACCAAAGTTTTGCTATTGCAGAACAGACGGCAGGTATCTGGTCAGACCAGAGTTTCATGTTTGACACAGGGCAGACAATACTTACATTCTCTCTGTTGTTTACATGTGCAAGAGTCAGGTTCTTATATTTCATTATCTGCATGGTCATAAATGACAGTGCATGCCTCAGGGACATTTTCTATCTCTCCTCTTCCCTGGGAGACCTGAGCAGCAAGTGCAACTGAGAAATGATGGAAAGGAAGAAGTTTTCCATCATGACTGACTCTAGATACTTGGGCTTATTGTTTTGATACCACCAGTAGCCACATAGCCAAAAAAACCCCCCAAACCCAAAAAAACCGCAAAACCCAAGAAACAAAACCTCATGCAAACTCTCTGACCCTGCAACCAACAGTTTGAAGACATGGTATTTAGCTAATGTGATCCTTTCCCTGTCATCCCTTTTGTTTTTAACACAGCAAGCCCTGGTCCCATTAGTTTTGTTTTGTTTTGTTCTTCCACCATACGTTCCTGTGCCAACAAGCAAATTCTTCCATTCATCATTCATTGCAGTCAGCAGTGAAATTCCATTTTCATCTCTGGTTGCACCTCCCTGGCTTCGCCTCTTTCCTTACCTTCCCTTTCCTATTTCTTTCTTTTCTTTAAACTGATATTTTCTGCTGTTTCCTAACAAGGTAGTCTCGTACTCCTGTCCCACATTCCTCTAGACGTGTTCAGTGCCTGCTCCTTTAATGGCAGCTGCTACAAGAGAGAGGTCAGGAGACACCATCAAAATCATTCCACTTGCCTATGCTGTCATAGGACGACATGGTTCGGAGACGAGTGTGCTTCCGCTAAGCCCCACTGACATGAAGGGAAGGAAGCTCCAGCCCTGCAGAGAAGGTTCTCCTCACTCAGCCGGCCCTTTAAAATCTATTCCATTAGCAATGATGGAAGTTGCTACAACATGGGGAGGAGAGAATACATCCTGCAGTGAGTCTGATGATCAAAAGAAAGTTTGATTAAAAACCAGTGTGTAGATTAAAGGCTAATTGGTTCTTCTTTCATTAATAGCAGTCTTTATTTCTTGCAGAAGTTAAATAGCTTTGTAATTAATGGTGACATGTTTAGACTAGAGAAGACTGAGTTTAAGTCTCTATTAATGACTGTTTCTTGGATTTTAAAGCAGGAGTGAAGGCTTTCAGCTAGTGTTTTGATCTTTTCCCTTCTCATTTATTATTTTGTAAAGGAATGTCAGATATATGTTTTTATCTTTGTCCTCCTGTTGGGACTTACTAAATGGATTAGGTCTAATAAAATCTGCCCTCAGTTCTAAATAATCAGGTTGACCCAGAGCTTGTTGCTCTGCCACTTTTTCTCTGGTGTCTTTTTTGCCTTTTTGAGACCTATATATGCTGTTGCCCCATAAAATGTGGAATTCAGGCACAAGGCCGAATAATTTAAATTGTTGACTGGTAGGTTATACATCTGGCCAGCCCATCAGTACTTAGGCTAAACAGTTTTGGGGTATGAAATTGTGCCTAGAAAGGGCTTGGAATATTTTTGGGTTGTAATGGTATTCAAAAAATACCACCTGCAAAATGCTGCAAATGCACATCTGCATTTTTTTTCCATTGATGTCTTAGAAATGGTTGCTACCATTCTGGTTGTTACGATTCCCCTTCTCTGAATGTTCTTATACATGACATAGCTTTTCACTGAGCTGTCCCTGAAAACAAACAGCATAGGCTGGGTAGTAAATCAGAGCAGCTATGATTTACTATATTTTGTATGCTAAGGTAAGCTTTTGGCAGAGCAAATGCATAAACTGCAGAAAATCTTTTTTAAACAACCACAGGGTTCAGCTGCCCTTCAAGGTTTTCGTAAGGATGTTTTAAAATTACATTGCCTAGATTAGTATCTGCGGTAGATAAAGCATCTCTGAATATTTTGCTACTCAAAAAAAAAAAAAAAAAAAAAAAAAAAAAGAGAAGGAATATTACGTGGCTTTCTCGTGATTTTTACCCTTTGAGTAGATGGTAATTGAATACTTCCCTTTAAGAATATGTCAGGTGGAAAGATCTCCTGTGTACTAAACGGATACCTTTTTATCTGAGGGACCAATGCTTTGTTCAGTCTGTCCATTTTAATCTTATTCTTGCGCTACAGATTTATATAAAAGAGACGTTTCTGTTAGGTAATGAAGGGTCAGAGACCCAAGCATCAGAGAAAAGGAAGATGGGACTGCAAGCGGCGTCTACTTATGTCTGACTTTTTGGCAGAAAAAAGCAACCATGAAACACAGGGTTGGGAATTCACCTTTTCTTCATAGATTGAGATATTTTAGCTTCTAACAGTTTTATTTTTCACTCTCATACCTGACACTCTTTTGCTAATGTATAACTCTATGCAATGTGACAGGATGTAATAATGACAGGGTTAGTGATTTAACAATCTTATTTGCTGCCATTTATCTGTCATTCAAACCTGCAAAAATTCAGTAGAGTTATAGATTGACCATTTCATGGTTCTTTCCTTTCTTGGCCAAGATATTATTGATCTCAGATTGTTTCTCAACATTCAGCTTTCCACATTACAATTGCCACAGCCATCATCAGGGCTCCTTGACTTTGACAAATCTTTTTTTAGAGAAATTTTTGGTCTTGCTAGTTGAATCTCAATTTGTCACCTAGAGTGGTAGTTCACTCAGGCCAGAGGTTGGGGGCTTTTATTATATTTGCATGTAGTTATTTACCCATCTTTTCAGCTAGCCTATGTCTGACACCTTTAATGAATTTCAAAAACAAATGAGAAATGTTCTTTCAATAGCTGACTTGGTGAAATTATGCAAATTTGGGACCTGATTCTTTTCAGGATTTTAAATAATGTTTCATAAATTCTGTAATTCCAATAGACATGCCAGCTTCATAGTATGATGTAAGCTTTTATATTGTAGCAATATGAACATTCATACCTCAGGATTGCACTCAAATTTACAAGGCTGCATGTCTTGTGTAGTTTTTGTAATCTTTGAAAAAGCTGCCTTACTGGAGCCATATGGCTAGATTGTTAAACATCTGTACATTAGGAGTAACAATTCCAAAGCTTCCTGCCATCTGGATGAATTACAATACTTGCAGTTCAATGCATATGTTACAACACTACACCGACACCACAGTGGAGTGTACTTACGATGAAAAGAAAAATAATAGCTTGTGTGATCAGTGCAAAAGTTGTACACTCGTAGAAAATGTTGAATCAGCAGCTTAAAATTCCTGAATATTCATAATGTTTGTTCATATGTCAGATTTGTTGATTATTTTCACTTTATAAGGCTCATTAACATTTTAGAAGAACTGTTGTCCCCCACCTTCTCACCTGAATTTTAAATTCATCATAGTGAGCATTCCTGTAACTTGAAAATATATTGTTTGAAAACTGCTGGACTTAGGAAATATATTTATCTTACCTTTA